AAAAAAAAAATATAAAACTGGGGCGCTATGGCCCATAGAGCCTCTGAGGCGCGATGGCCCATAGTGCCTCCCATGGCGCCTCACAAATTCACCGTCTGTTGGGTGCCACGTGTCAGTTTCACCGCAGGCGTGACCAATGACACGTGGCACTAAGGGTAAAACGATCCTGACGCAATTTCCTTCATGTATTTAAGCCACCGGGGTAAAAATTTTCAATTTGATCTATATTGTCGATTGCTGTTGCCACGTCATTTGTTGGAGTTATATGAAAATAAAGTGTAGGAATGAAATTGAAAATAAATGCTACATATAAAGGGTAAAAAAAATATTATACAATTTCGTCTCCTATATGTTGTAATCTTTTTCAAATTGGTTTTTATACTTCACATAAGTACAAAACTTCTAACCGATTTTAGTGTGGTATAACAGCAGCAACGAGTAATATATGGGGAGAAATCTGAAAATGGTGGTATATGTAAAGACTAAATTAAAAAGAAAAACATATATATACCAAAATTAAATAGATATTAGTGTATTACGTACGAAGAGTGCTATTTAGTAGGACCAGTGTAATACCAAAAAACTGTAAAAAAAAATATAATTAATTTGAGGAAAACACTAATTCTATGTGTTATAATTTTTGTGTTTATATTATTTTTTTTTCAAAAAAAAATTATACTAGGATAAGATATGACTCTATAAGGACAAAGTCAACGAACAACCTCTTGGAGAATTTCTAATAGAATTATGGACTATTTACACAAGTTAAGGATTTCTAATTAAATTAGGATAAGTTGTGAAATACAAAGAAATTAGGATTTAATTTTAGGCTCTAATTAGTAATAAGAATGAAAAGACTTATCCAATTTAACATACTTGCAAGACATGTTGCATATTAGTATAATAAAATATTTTATTCTTCTTAATCTTTATTATAAGCTATTTTTAATCGAATCACACAGATTAATATAAGAAGTTATGTTAATTGATTTTATTGAGTTTCATACAATAAAAACATGAGTTATCAATTTTATCCTTCTTATTAAATTTTTATGAGAGAGATAAAGATATTATCACATATCAAAGCTTATGTATCAATACCAACAAAAATAATAAATGTCAATTGGAGAGATTTTAAGAAGTGAGAGAGAAAAACACATATTCTCACAATCTTTAATAGGAACAAATAAAGAAAAAAATAATTTTAGGTAAAATTGCACTCACCTTACTAATGGTCTAATTAAATGACACACATTTTTCGTCGAATTTTTAAAAATTACTTACCTCGAATAATGTCATTAGTTAAAATAACAAATGGAGAAAAAATAAAATTTAATTCATTAAAGCTAATCATATGCATGTTTATTCTTTGTTTTTGAATTACATACAACGCTATGTCTTCTTAATGAAAATTTTCATTATTCTTCAATTTTGTAAACAATAATTTTTCAACTCATTCTTTGAAAATGTTCCTTGAAGTTGGTATATTTTTTAAATCACAACATACATAATATTTAGAATATGATTTGGGAGTTAAAATTGAGTAAGAGATTAAATCTTATTTAATTATTGACATTTGCATTAGTAATTTATACTCTTTTAACAATATACACATATAATGTTATCTTATATAAAGGATTGTATGTGTTACTTAGATAAATAAATAAGAGATATTAATGTTCATTTAAAAATTAAAGAAGAAGTGTGTGTCTTTTAATAAGACCTTAGTGCAATTTTTTCATAATTTAATATTTTCTAGAAACTATGAGATGCATTATACGAAAGAGCATAAATTTCTTCTAAACTATGCATATTATAATATAGACTAGAGTGAGTAAGGGTGGTAAAACGGGGCAGTCCGACCCGTTTTGGCTTGGTCTAGCCCGTTTTGGCTTGACCCGCCCTCATATTTATGCAAATATTTGTTGAGTGTATATCCACATATTTATTTTCAATATCTACGAATATCCATGCTACCCACAAATATTTATTAAATTTTTTAAAAATATTTTAACCATACATTTTAGTTATATATAATAGTTTTTTTTTCCAAGTTATAGAAATCTGCATAAAAAAATTTAAAGATTATAAAATTAAAATTTAAATATTCTTCAAAATTATCCTAATAATAAGTAGATTTTAAAATTGAATTTTAAAGTTCAATCATATAAGTATAAGCCTACAATTCAAACAATAATAATTGTTAAAATAAAATATTTTGATTACACATAAATCAAAATAAAAGATAATAAAATAAAATACTTAATTATTATAAAATATAAATCCAAACAAAGTTCAAATAAAAATCAAATTTATACAAGTCAAAATAAATTAAATATTAGCAGATATAGGTATTCGCGAATACAATTATTATAATACTCCTATCCTTCCTATTAACAAGCAGGTATAAAAAATGTATGTATCTCTTACCCGTAAATATCTGTTTATTATATCTATTTTTTATTTGTTGCAGATTTTATCTACAGATATCTACGTATACGGATTTTTTTGATATTCTTACTTTACACGCGCGCACACACACCTATATATATATGGAACATATTAAGTGAGAGAGAATTTATTATGAGAGACGAAAGGGTTAAAATATAACCCTTAGATTAATCAAGTGATAGGAAATTAATCTAAGGGTTATATTTTATGTTCAAATATAAAAAAACTGCTACAAATAAATAAATATAACCATATAAAACTAAAAATTGTTTGTAAAAGTGCACCACAATGGTCGTTTAGCTTTTGTTGTTTCACCTACTCATAAATTGGCCATGCGCTGTCTGTAGATTTAAAGTATTTTATTTGCATAATTTACTTTAAATTAATAATACATGTAGACACCTAATTTTGTCCGGGAGCATACAAACAAAAAAATGGACCTCTGTTATGAAGGGAAGGAGCTCCCGAAGCATGCAAACAATAGAACAAGACATCAGAAGGCCTAAAACCCAAATAAATTGGTTTTAGTGGCCCGGAACGGGCTGTTCTAAAATCGGAACGATCCGTTCCAAGCAACAAAAAAGGCCTAAAAACCTAGTCTGGAACAGGCTGTGACACCCTTCTACCCCATAATAGATAAGTAACAAAAATAAATATAACCATATAAAACTAAAAATGCATACATATTGTACATAATAAATGTTTAACAAAAGCAAAT